TATACCTCCGGTAGGGGTGCACTTGATTTTTTGGGTCTCGGTCACTGCACTATGAGCTCCGCAGAGCTGTAGTGTTCTCCCGGTACTTAGTACGTTAATGTCACACTATGTAAGTGGCTCACGGTATAATGGGTATTACTGGGTAATATGTGGCGCTGACGTCTTTAGAGACATGTCTGGGCTATGTAATCACCTAGACGCTCACATATTTTGACACGTATGTCTTTGTATTGATCGTCTTCTAACACACTTAATAACATGGCTATTGAGATGGACCGCACAGGTTGAAGATGTTGTAGCACAGTCGTTCTCTCTGTTCTGTAAAACGGGCACAATCCAAGAGAAAGTGTTCTACTGTCTCGGGCTCACTACACTCTTTACAGCTGGGGCTATCCTCTTGTCCAATTATGTGGAGATATTTATTTAGGCCCACGTATCCCGTTCTTAGTTGTGCTATTTTGGAGTAGAGGCGATGGTTCGGTACGTCGATCAGCGCATGCGTACTTACCAAAGGTTTCAAGCTGTGAAGGCGTCTGCCTGTCTCCGATACATCCCACTGTCTCTGCCACTTGGCCTTGACAGAGACCCTGACGGCCCCTCTAACGTCCCCTTGGGAGGTCGGTCCCTCACTCTCCATGCTATAGCAGCTGTTTGACTAGCTTGTTTGGCCAACTTATCAGCAATCTCATTGCCAGCGATGTTAGCGTGTCCAGGAGTCCAGGATATGCGAACTGGAATGCCCAGTGCTTCCAGATAACACATTCGACTTTTACATCTGGAGATAGTGTTCAAGAATTGCTTGGCTTTCCATCCTAAGGTGAGTAGACCTATGGACGATTGGCTGCCAGAGAAGATTTGGACCATCGCCGTGGCATCCAGGTTGGTTTCGGTGCAGATATAGTCCAGGGTCAATAAGATGGCTACTAGCTCTCCAAGCAGTATGGTACTATATGCTGTGATACTGGATTGCTGATCTCAATGGGCGTGTCCTCACCAGGTAGGAGTATACAAGAGCCTGCGCCACAAGGTCCCGGTTTGGGTTGGCAACTGCTCATGATGCCGCCAATGATGTCTCTGGCAGCATCCTCCTGCTCTCTTGTTCTGGCTTTTGACGACCCTAGGGTTGACCAGTAGTCTGGGGACGTACGTATTGGCTGCAGGGAAGTGACGTACGGGAAGCAGGGCTCCATGACCGACACTGTGATGTTGGTCTCGTTGGTCATGTATGCCAGTTGGATTTGGCATAACCCAAATGGTGACAGGTGTCTCTCTCCTTTGTCCCTGCATGTCCTGCCAATGTTCCCAAAGCTGGATCAGTGGTTCAGCTTTTGCCAAGGCCAGTACCTTCCCAATTTCTCTGACAGCTAGCTCCTCTCTCCTAAGGGATAGTGGTAGGACGCTTACCTCCAACTCCATGGCCTCTCAGCTACTGGCCACCTATACATAGGGCCAGACCTTTTGTCAATTAATTATTTGTGCATTTGTTGTATAAAAAGTGCACATTTCACTGAAGATATCTGTAATCAATATTGCTGGATAGATGTTTATTTAGCATCATTTGTTGGCACATCTAATAGTACATTTACATATATCAGTATACATGTATATTATGGGTGAGACGATTCATCGATATATGGATATATCGCGATCCAAACTTTAAAGATGTAATTAAGTATCGATACGTTCGACATACATGACACTCGTAGTGAATAAAATGCATAGTTTTATCAGAAAACAAATGAAACATGACACAATTCGCAGTTCAATAATGGTTGTTTACAAAGCACTTCACAATACTGTTTTGTAAGAATTTACATAATTTATAGAGTCTGTGTTAAGTGTATAGTTTGCTATGTTTCTGTTGAAAGTATTGTGATACATAGCGTAATGTGTATTAATTACCTGTATCATCCCACACCCCCTAATGTATATGTACATACATGCAAGAGCAGATAAAGAAGGCCTTCTTTATCTGCTCTTGATACATATAATCAGGGCTACCCCTGCCGTTCGCCACCTTCGCAAAATGTGATAAATAAATAACTGGTGAATAGTAATATCTGTTCTCGTGTATATCTGTGCATGCCTGTATGGGCGTGCTTGTGTGTGTGTCTTGCCTAAAACTGTTATAAATTGATTAGGTATTAAGTGCGTCTGTCATTTTTCAGGTGTTCTGTACAAAAGCCGAGACGTGCACGCCTATGTCGCATCGCATACGACTCGCAAAGCATGTTGGTACGCTTGCTCTGCGCATATGTCCTTGTGGCTGTGGTGGCGCCCCCTCCAGTGGATGCAAACCCGACGGTATTCACCGTGGCTGGTGTTCTGAGTGACCCAGACAAGCAGAAGCTGTTCCAGGATGTCGTACATCGGATTGGAGACAGCGGCATTCTGCCACCAGGCGTCGTCTTTAACTCAACAACAATCTTGATGAATCCGAATCCAATTCGGACAGCCCTCTCCGTCTGCGACAACCTCATCAAATCCAAGGTAGCAGCGCCAGCATGGTCCTTGTAGTACAGTACTTATTGCCTTACGCTTTCCCTCGCCAAAACCATACCTTCTCTAGTTGGCACTGGGAGGTATTAGGTGTTTTCATCAGTTGTGTGTAAACAAAATTTTCTGACATGACATCTGTATGAAGCTAGCAGGGCTGATATGGTTCTCGTCACCAACCCAATGGCCCCATGCAGCTATAATCCTGTTCCTCCCGGAAGCTAGCAATGAGCCGAGGAGTCATTCATTTCCAAGTAGCTGCCCTCAGTCATTATTAAAGGCTTGACAATTGAACCTGCTAGCTACAATGCAAAGCTCATTATTACCTGTAAATGTGTGGCAACCATAGATCTCCTAGTATAATTACATTAATTTTCAATGATGGACTTTACTAATTACACACGTTGTTGTGATGTTGATGCAGTATGCCTGTAGCATAATAGCTGGTGAAAGTCATGGTTCAATTTTAGCTACAATATCACAGCCTTCCTCTGTTTATGGGTACCCGTACCTGATATAAATAAAACTTTAATAGTTTGCGTGCACACTGTACTAAGGACAGTGCCAATATAACTTGTTCTGAAAGTCACCCCCACATGACTAATGAAAAATTTTAACTCTGATTAGCTCATGCTTTCGAAGAATAAATTCCAAACGTTCCTGTGAAATGCCTGTGGGAATCAAGGTGAAAAATATCACAAGCTTACATCTTTCAGAAATGTAAAATTATCAAAATATTCTTACTAAAATTATTAGTTAAAGTGATGATATTTATGCTGTTAGCACATTTGACTCGCGAATGATTGGTCGGCCATCTACAGTATGTTGTGAGTGCTAACCTGCCAAATTATAGCCACCCACATCACTATAGTTTCAGTTCTATTCAGTTGGCTTTGAAAATATTGCAGAGAATCTTATGAACTTATGGATTTTTTATTCTCACAAAGGAAATTTGGAACAGTCAACAAAGCTGTTCCGTATAATTATCTGCTGCTGATGTTCATGCTCTTTAAAAGAATTGCATTACATTGTGCTAATCAGAATTCTTAGTAGGCAAGATGACTGAATAAAACTTTAATCTGATCTTCTGCTGATCATGAAATTTCCAACTTGCTCAATCACATCAGAAGGCTTATTGAGTAATGTATAATGACCTCGATTATTTGGAACACCGTTAGCTAACTGGCATGCGTCCTTAATCTGGGCAGGTATATGCTGTCGTTGTGAGTCACAGTCAAGGGAATGAGCTGTCTCCAGCCAGCGTGTCGTACACATGCGGATTCTACGACATCCCGGTGATTGGCATCAGCGCACGAGATACCGTTTTCTCTGACAAGGTATGCCTAGTAAATGTGCTATTTTTTTAAAGAAAGATTAATGTGTGTGCGTGCGCGCACGTGCGCTTGTGTGTGTGCAGACGTACATGCACGTGCTCATCTGCACGTATCAAGCGTACGGGGAATTATGTGGGTGGCTCACTAAAATGACCATATTTGACATTATTGACAAGGAACTACCTTCACCCTCATAATGTAATATCATATGTTTTATAGTAAAAGAAATTGGGAGTTTGGTTTTCACTTAACAATAACATGTATACAGTGCATAAACAGCAGGTCTAATTTTTGACAGAACATCCATGCGTCGTTCCTGCGCACGCTTCCACCGTACTCTCACCAGGTGGATGTGTGGATCAAGATGGTGGCCCTGTTTGGCTGGAAGGCTGTGATTTTCATTCACACGAATGACAGAGATGGCCGGTCTGTGCTCGGTCGTCTGCACACGCTCGCTGAAGAGAATGGAATACAGGTACATATAACTGTAGATAACACAGATAAAAATGGCTGTAGTTTTTTTCTCGCTGTCATCCACTGTTTGTTATATATATAATAACAAATGTTTATTCACATATATGTTATTGTGTCATGAAAATGTACAGGAATAACGTAAGTAAAAAGTAAGTATAGAAGTAAAAGAAAATAGTAAAAGTAAAACGTACAGTAAGTGGGGGAATGCAGAGCTAGATTAGGAAAGAAGTGATTCCCAGTGAGGAAATTTAAGCTGTTTTAAAGTGATTGCTTGAAATATGGTGTTAAAAATGTACTGAACTAAAGACCCTTGGTTTAAGCATGGGCTTTTCACACGCATGGGCATGTATTTTCAGATAGAGAAAACCATTGAGTATGAACCAGGAGTTACGAATCTAACGCACAGTTTCTTGACTGAAGCCAAAGAGGCAAATTCCAGGATCATACTTATGTATGCCAAGTAAGTAAATGTCTACTGAACAGAACAAAGAATTTTACGTTTTTATTTCATTTTGATTTGATAGCTACCTTGAAATTATTAGAATAGTTAGGTTGGTTTGTCAAGTTACTGTAGTTCGTGGATTGTCAGACAGTGATAGTCAGACACTGACACTGCTAATCACCTAAATAAATATCTGATTGCATAATAGTTCTCCCCACTAGCAGGGATATGCAGATCATAAAAAAGGGTGCACTTTTTATTGTTTCCACGTTTTTACCTCTAACCTAATAATTTTCTATGTATTTCATAAGCTATCCTCACTACCAGCATTTGTTGGTGTAAGTTGTAATATAGTTATAACGTGCTTACATCTGTGCTATTTGTCCATACAGTGCTGAGGATGCTGCTGTGATATATCAGGCAGCAGGAGGTGTTAACATGACGGGCAGTGGATACGTGTGGATCGTTTCAGAGGAGGCCCTGCAGGTTCCTAACAGACCAGATGGTAGGTAAAGCATCGCAATGTTAGCATAATGGTATAATGACGTGTGGGTGAAATATGTATCAATAATTTGTCTGCTGCCACGTTATTCTGACTACAGGTATATCTGCCTGGAGTGATTGACAGATAGCTCTAGCTAATCAGTGTTGGGATAGGAGTATTCTAAAACTGTTACATAGTAATGAAGCATCTCAAAGTCGATAATGTGGCATGCCCAAGCCCGTAGCCAGCTTTATATTGGGGGGGGGGTTCGTTTTTCAATGTTGGCAATTTGCTTGGCAGGGGCGTGTACAGGATTTGTACCAGGGGGGGTCTAACCATAACCCAAAGATGCGAGCACGCGAAGGGAGGGTCTGGGGTCAAATTTTTTTAATATTACACCCCCTCAGATGCGTTTTCTGCGCGAGCAAGGGGGGGTTTTCGGACTCCCGTGGACCCCCTGTACACGCCCCTCGTCCGCGCTTATTGCGGCGCACGAAGCGAGCCGGGCAAGGGACCAAGCGAACGAGCGGGGGGAGGTGTGAGGAGGGGGTTCACTGTTTATCACCTCCCGCACGATGAGGAATACTTGCAATGTATCTACACATAAATGGAGCGACCTGAGGTTGAATTTTGGCAAATTAAAAAAAAAAATTTTGTCTTGTTTGGGGGCTCGGGGGGAATGTCGTCTCGAACCCCCCCCGAACCCCCCTGGCTACGGGCCTGCAAGCCTACATAAAAGCACATAATATAGTGTAGCTTGATCAGCTTAGCCACAATATCCAAAGGGGGTCGGCATGTTCCACCTCCCTTGGATGGCTAGGTCAAAAACATTGCGACATGCCGTGATGAGAACACGTCATAGTACGATTACGATATATCGTACAAATACGATCTGACACACAGCATTTATGATATATGGCGACCATTGTTAGCTGACTTCTTTAGGAATCCTTGGTTTGCATCTGAGCCACCAGGAGGAACAAGCTCACATCAACGACAGTGTTATGGTTATTGCTGGGGCACTTGTGAACATGATGAATGCTCACGAGAATATCATGGAACCACCGAACAGCTGTGGAGAGCAGAACTGGAAGACGGGGAAGACGTTTTACAAGTGAGGCTTGAAACCTTTGCGCTAATGATGCGATAAACAGAACCATGCTGATGCTTGTGAGATTGAATGCAGGAAACCCTCATGTACATATATATACTAATGCATGCACACACACATGCGTGGGCACACATACATGCGCACCAAACATGCACATGCTCGTATTCACGCACGCACACGCACGCACACACGATCGCACGCATACATGTACATGCACATTGCACTTATGCACTCAATCTCACTTGCACACATAATTCAACATGCATGCACTCCCACATATGATACATAAAGGCATGTACACTTGATCACATATAGACATACACACATGCACATTTTGACACACACACATGCACACACACACACACATGCACACACACACACTCTCGTTCACTAGGGCATACATGTACTGACATTCACGCGTATGTATTAATTCACAGACAAATACAAAAACTCTTGCATACATGAAATTTACACACACACACTCACCACTTCTGTGCTTACAGCCTAATGCACCATGCATGTGTATTCTCTACAGGCACACACATGCACACATTTACTCACACACATGCACAGATGGATAATAAACGTTAGTATTAGTAAATTAATCTTATTCAACCCCAACTTCGAATGTAATCCTTTCCATTAACTTACTGACAACAAACGCTCAAATTTCTTGCAGAAAGAGGGTAAAACTCTAGTGTGTATGTCTTGTATTTCATTATTCCTCACACATGGTAGGCAGTTGTCAAGACCCATTACATGTGACTGAAAAAATCCCGCCTATGTAGGCAGGCATATATAGATTGATGGTGTAACTAAGTAAGTACAATTTAATATGTAGTCAAAGTATTAGAATTAGTATTGGTGGGTATCTCACGCTGTGGTGGTACGCTCAAGTTTGGTGACTCATCACGTAGCTTAGTTTCCTCACTGGTACCCAGTGGCAATGATGGAAATGTCCACACAGTACCTATAAATGCTTGTAGCACATCTACAAATATTGCGTATACAGATACCTCATCAATGAGACTCTCGACAGAGGCATGACAGGCAGGATATCATTTGATGAATCTGGTGATCGTCTTGATGCAGACTATGAAATCATCAACATACAGAAAGGGGACCGCCAAGTCACTGTAGGCATCTGTTCACCATCCAATGGACCGAAGGTAGTACGAGTAACGGGTCGAGGCCAAGGTTCAATATTGTAGATATTGAGTCTCTATTTCGCTAGAATGACGTGTCCAATTTTGTCTCCATGGAATGTATTTTTTCACAACGTTTCCGTCGCTGTTATTATATCAAATGTAAATTGTTACGCTTATAGGGGTAAATTATTACCCTGTTGTGGTTACTCCAACAGGGAAAGCGAGGTGCTGAACTGAAACTGAAGAATGAAACCACAATAATTTGGCCAGGGGGTGGTACCGAAAAACCAGAGGGCTATATTATTCCTACAGAACTAAGGGTAAGTGACATAGTAGTTAGGGTGTCAGACTTGAAATGTGGCAAGTAAGAGGCTTGACTCTGCACTTTCTTTTGTGTACAGTGCAATTGTGAAAGAACACTAAAAAAAAAAAACTCTAATAACTGCATTGTGAATATTTGTTTCCACTTGGTGACTATCGTGGAAGTGACAACTGGACCAAGTGACTTGAAATACTCTAAGTGTGAAACTTGTAGGTCGTCACAATACCAGACGTCCCCTTTGTGTGGACAAGGAAACTTGAGCCAGGAGAGAACTGCAGCAAGGTTGATGGGGAAGTGTACTGCCCTCGACCAAATGCCTCGTTCCCAGGACAGGACGGTAGGAAAGTCACAACTAAAATCACACACATAATACAATGTATAATATAACATCACATTATGATAACTACCTATAGTCATAGTATCCTATATGCAATATAACAGAGTGTTATGTGTACGTATACCATGGCAGAGGGGTCCACTCTAGAACCTTTTTCAATTTTCACCTGTAGCTATTAGAACATTATTCTGTATAAAACACAGTTGCATTATTGCTGATGTGAAACAAAGTTTGATGGCGTTTTTATTCTTAATACGTCAGATGGGATGCAATTTCATTATTTGTTGTAATTTGAAAAGCAACCGTTAATTGGGCCAAAGCATTCCTCTTATTTCACACCATTTCTGAACAGCTAGGCAAGTTGTGGTTTTTTCAGTTTTTCTTTCTTAACTTTTTATGGTTTTTATTGCAATTATTTAATTATTTCCTGCTAATGTGAAATTCAAGCCCTGGTGTTATTTTCATTTTATAGTTAAGCTCAAAACTAAGTACACAATTTGAATTTCTCCAAATTTAGATGTTTGTTGTTTGTCAAAATGTTGTTTTAGTTTGGGAGGAGGAGCACTGTTGCTATGGTTACTGCATTGACCTGCTTGTCAAGCTTGCAGAGAAAGTGAACTTCACTTTTCAGCTACATCTGTCTGCTGATGAGATGTATGGATCCTATGATAGGGTAAGATAACTTTTATACACACACGCATGTCTATATTTCAACTGCGGCAACCTGTTGCTTAACTTGGCTGGTGAAATTGTGCCTTATAACGGAGAGCCTCGGAACTGCCAAACACAATCAATGTTATATTAAATTCAAATGTGATAGATCTTAAAATTAGTATGTAATATAATCAGATTATTATATATATATATCAGTAATCATGAGAGTTATCTGTAGCTTCTTTGATTTCTGCGTGGTCTACCCTTATTTAGTAAAAACTCATCAATTGGTTGGTGGTACATTGTTATATGATAAGCCAATAGTATCGCTGAGAGGGTCTATGTCGCCCGGGGTACTGCCGGAACGTACCCTGGTACTATCTAATATGCCGGACCGTACCTCGCCTACTCCACTAACGAGTCTAGGGAGTCGCGTACGCCTACTCCAGGGCTGCCAACTCTCACGCATTTTGACCAAATCTCACGCTCTCACGCTGATCTTACAATATCTCACGCACAGCAAAACACACACACAGACACACACACACACACACACGCACAGCACGCACAGCAAAAAATGCTGATATATCTCGCGCATGAATATCTCTTCATGAATAAAACGCTGAAATATCTCACGCACAGCAAAAAAAATCTTACAATATCTGAAAACAGTCACTTTAGTATGCACCAAATTGCACAAATTGAAGTTATAAAATGGAAAAGCTCCCTACCGTGGCAGGAGGGAAACCCCCTCCCACGCCCACCACCCGCTCGGTCGCTTCGCTTCTTCGCATCTCACTCTCATCTATCACCCAATGTTGGCAGCCCTGCCTACTCCCTAAACCTAACCCTAACTCTAACCCTAACCCTAACTCTAACCCTAACCCTAACCCTAATCCTAACCCTAACCATATCAAATAGTGACCAGGGTACGTTCCGGTATACCGGACCGTACCCAGGGTACGTTCCGGCAGTACCCTGGGGGACATAGACCCTATGAGCAATAGTATCTCCTTTGCTAGTTGAGTAGCATACTAAACTAAAACTGCATGAGTAGGAACTCCATGTATATGCTTATGTTTCTAGACTAATATTTAATTTTATAATTCAATGTAGGATTCTATTATGCTAACATAAATACGCACTTATTGTGAAGTTATATATCTACTAGTATATGTCTATATACTAATATAATTATACTATATATATATATATATAGTATATATATATAGTATATATAGTATATATATATACTATATATATACTATATACTACTAATAATATAATATAATAGTATATACTATATACTAATACTAATATAATTTCATTCAAAATACATAATTATATAAATCAAATATATAAAACAATATCATATTAAATATAGAAAATTCCTATCCTTGTAATTTTATTATCATCAATTACACTCCGCAGAGAAATGACTCAACCAAACAAGAATGGAATGGCATGATAGGGGAGGTGGTGAATGGTCAAGCAGACATGATCGTGGCTCCGCTGACTATTAACCCTGAGAGAGCAGACTTCATTGACTTTTCAAAGCCTTTCAAGTATCAGGGAATCACTATATTGGAGAAGAAGGTAAAGCCACATTAGGTGGTACCCGTTTCACTGTTACAGTACCATGCTTTCTTAAAGTGCTCTTATGATAAACATCTATATATCATATCGATTTTTTAAATTCTAGAATAGACTTGACTGTGTGCTTATTATATAGGTCACTATATAAATAGAGAACAATTTTTGGTTCAGTTGTTGTTTCTATTTACAAATTTTTTATATATCCGGACAGGTGTAGCTTGTTACTCTATATAAAACTATATGCACGTTCTAACATCATGAATGATTGTCTAGTGAAGAAATTAACACTATTATTGATTCATATAGTATTGACGTATATGGACACACTTGTTACTTTAGAATTATCTTTATATGCGCACATGCATATACATCAGGAGTAGATAATAGGGATCCCTATTATCTACTCCTGATATACATGCTTGTTATTTTATTACTTGCGTAGATGGCAAAGGCCTCAAGCCTCACTTCATTCCTACAACCCTTTCAAGACTCACTGTGGTTGTTGGTCCTCTTCTGCGTCCACCTGGTGGCACTAGTCCTGTACTTGCTCGACCGATTTAGTCCATTCGGGCGATTCAAGCTGCCACAGAGTGATGAGACTGAGGAAGATGCTTTGAATCTCTCCACAGCGCTCTGGTTCTCCTGGGGAGTGATACTCAACAGTGGCATTGGTGAAGGTTAGTATTTACACTTGATCATTGAGTATTTGTAGTAGTCGCTAACAAACGGTTATCTCCCGAATTGGCAGACGTCCAGACTAAATAGTCCATTTGAGGGCATATACCTGTCAACATTTAAAGATCTCAATTGGGGGCTTTGGTTTATGGTCTTATCATATAGTAGATTGATATTAATTTCTCTGGTGTATAGTGTGATTTCCAAGAAGATCAAGTATCAAATCCAAACCAGTTTCCTTGTTTTATCAAATATGCATGGTGCCAAAAGAAACCTAGAATTTGATTGGTTTAAACTGTTACTGTGTCGGTTATAATTAAAATACTGTTCTACAGGCAGGTAAAGTTTGGATTGATTAAAAATTGGGATAAATCGTGTATATTTGGTCAAAATCGAGTTTTAGCATTTTTACAGTGTTACAATCGTAGCATAGTAATATGAAGCCATGTTTTATCGTATGTAATTTGCACCTAAATAGTGTAGGTTGACAGGTATGTGAGTGTCTGAAATGTGATCAGCCATTGGCAATTAACAAGAGAATGAATTACAATTAAAGATAATTGCATATACATGCATAGCAGCTGTTGAACATGCAGTTGTACAAATCTCTTTTCATCTGTTTTCTATCTGTGCACAGGAACACCAAGGAGCTTCAGTGCTCGCGTTCTTGGCATGGTATGGGCAGGCTTCGCAATGATTATAGTCGCCAGTTACACTGCCAACCTGGCTGCTTTCCTCGTATTAGACAAACCACAGACTACGATTACGGGCATCAATGATGCAAGGGTATCATTCCTTAAAATTACTAATCTCTTTACAAATATATTGATGTAACATAATTACACATATCTATACAAATGCAATTTGTGCTGGTTTTTTTCGGATTTTAATTGACTATCTTCTTTGTAATTCTGTCTGGCAGGCCATCTGCATATCTCTCAAAGTAAACATGTTTTTTACCTACACATTTTTTTCCTGCTCAGCTGAGAAATCCTCAGGAAAACTTCATTTACGCAACAGTGAAAGACTCGGCTGTCGACATGTATTTCCGCAGACAGGTGGAGCTATCAACCATGTACCGTACCATGCAGGGCAACAACTACCGAACGGCCGAAGAAGCAATAGAACATGTCAGAATTGGGTATATGCACTTGTTTAGCTCTGCTCCTTAAGTTTGCATCAAATATATTTTTCGTACTATAGTTGTTTACACTATATGAGTATACATTAGTGAACTGAGGAACAAAATCAAAATTACAGACATAGTTTCAGGTGCTACTATACTTTGACGTGACCCGATAATATACAATAAATATAGGTACAGTACAACATAACTTGGTATGCTTTGAAGCAGGCCTGGCCCACCTCGATTTGTCGGGCTAATTTATTCTGGACTAGCGCGTATTTAGCCCGGGATAGCGTGTAAATACTGCAAAATTTCAGTCTGCACCTAGCCCAGAATAGTTTAATGTAGGATCAAATTTGCAGTCTATATGGGGTGTAAGAATTCAATGTTGACATTGCCAGGGACTACTAATCGTAGCACATGTACAATTTCCTTCTTCAAGTGAATCTAATTATGGCAAACAAAGGTTTTATGCAGAATACTAATGGAGCAGACAACTGTTATTTTGAGAGGAATCGATTTCATAGTGATAAAAACATAAAAGATATAAGATGTAAAGATATAACATATGGCGGTCTAAAAGTACATATGTATTTCCTTGTTTAATATGCAATATATTTTAAATATGAATGAGTAATAACCCTCATTGAACTTTAGGAAACTTAATGCCTTCATCTGGGATTCATCACGGCTGGAATATGAAGCAGCAAAAGACTGTGATCTTGTGACAGCCGGAGAACTTTTTGGTAGATCTGGATATGGTATTGGTCTTCCCAGGGGAAGCTCATGGACAGACAAGGTCACGCTAACTGTACTGGATTTTCATGAAAGTACGTGTGATTGTTACTTACATATTAACAGAGAGAGAGAGAGAGAGAGAGTCAGCGGAATAGAGAGGGACTGGATAGATTGAGATGAGAGAGAGTAAGATAGATGAAGAGGAAGAAGTGGGATGGGAGAACGAAATGAAGAAGGAGAAGGTGGGCAAGATCGGGAAAGAGGGAGCGAGACTTATCTGTTGATTCCATATAAATTTATACATTGCGTGTTTCAAATAAAAAATATTAGAAAGCGTGCTTTGTTCTATTCATGCGACATTCATTTCATTACTTTATGTTGAATTGACTAGGTTAGGTGCCTGTAAACGTTTGTTATGGTTTCCCAGTCAGTATTGCTCACAGTGGTATTTGTATTTTCCATCACCCATCATCACTTCATCAATAGGTATCGACAAAACTTGACTGGTGTTAGTTTATAACTCAAGATGTCCGACTGCTGTTTGATTGCAACAGGTGGATTCATGGAAGACTTGGACACGAAGTATATTCTAGTTCACAGCACCGATTGCAGCATGGAAGAGGACTCACCAGCAACACTTGGACTGTCTAACATGGCTGGTAAAATAGAGGGAGAGAGAGAGAAATATATAGGAAGGGGGGAGGCAGGGAGGTAACACTGGGAGAGAGGGCAGAGGGTAAATGAACACATTTGGCCTATCTAACATGATTTGTAAAATGGAGAGGGGAGAGAGAAATATATGAGGAGAGAAATGCACAGAGAGAGGGCACATAGATATATCCAAAGATAACGTCATTTTACCAAATTCCTGTTTAAACGCCCAGAAGTGTGATATAAAATATTATCCAAGGTAGATTTGAAATCTTTCACTCGCTTCTCTCCAGGCGTCTTCATCCTGGTTGGCGGTGGTATTCTTGCTGGAGTTTTTCTCATCTTTATCGAGATCGCGTACAAACGCCACCAGATGATGAAGGAACGAGAGATGGAGATCGCACGAGCAGCGGCGGAGAGGTGGCGAGGCACTATCGAGGTGAGTGTAGCAAGGCAGGTCATCATTCCGGGATCTTGAGTCGATGCAGCTGGTACTCCTCATGATCCAAAGATCTGATTTGGTCACCTGTTCCAGTGCATATAAAATGTTTGCATTCGGAACCTCACTTGTATGCCGACTTAGGATATCGCCTGATTATGGTAACCCACTCGTATACGTAGTGATGTAATTCGGCTAAAATATGTGGAAACGTTTAATTTGCAAAATGTTGGTTTGTTGATGTTGTGTGTTGCGTCTTTAATTTGCGTATTTATTTTGCCGTACTTATTGTGCATTTCGTCAGGAAGTGTTGATAAGCATACATTGCTAATTCCTAAAGATGTCTCATGTCATCAGCCTCTCTTTTTCGACGAGAGAAAGTGAGAAGTTATGATAAATTATTGATAAAACAACAGAGTAGTGATGATGAGGGTGACTTCATTCGTGACAAACACAACGACAGCATTAGCCGTGCGCGCAACGATCCATCGACCGCCCCCGCTGAAAGTGAGGATGAGGTAACATCGAGCGACGCACAGAGCCGAGGTCGCATCGCCCCTGCATGCTGCCGATGAATAGTCGCTTTATACCTAGCAATGACGTAACACGTAACGTCGGCATCGCAGCACCGACACTCGGCGCCTAGAACCGCGTAGTGTGCAGTGTAACAGTAGAAGGTTTTCTCGGTTAAAAATCATTGCCTGGTGCATCCAATGGGCACATTACCTGCGTGCCTGAGTAGCTTGCATAGACATGATTTTACCTTCTTTTAACTATGACTATGCGTCTGCAAGGCAACGCTTGACGATGACCTCTTGTGAATGAAGGGTATTTGAAAGGCAGTGGCAGAACATCCCCAGAACATACAGAAACGGCTTACTACAATAGAATGGAAGTTGCAGAATTGCACGTTTGCAATCTTACTAAATTTGTAATATCTATATTTGCTAACTGTATGTGTAACCATATTAAATAGCCACCACTGACAAATACAGTGAGTTGCGATGTTTACTTGGCCGTTTTTGGCGTGTGGGTGATGTAATCATATAAACGTGTGTGAAAGTTGCCCAGCATGTAACGTAGTCCTGCGCTTTTAAGGGTGATACTCCATTAGGAGTACGTGTTCCCAACTTTAATGTCATTAATGGTTAGGGTTATGTTATAGGTTAGGTTAGGGTTGGGGTTAGGGTTAAGATTATCAATCATTAATCATTAATCATTAATCATAAATGATATCAAAGTTGGGAACACTCCTAATGGAGTGTTAGCCGCTTTTAAGTCCGAGTTTGCCATTTTATTGTGTGCTGATGGGAATTGTTTTTTTGTTTACCTTCAATGGTTTGGGGCATTATATGTGTGCAGACTAATCTTCCTAGTTTTTTGTGTCGACTAAATCGTAATGAATTATTATGCCAACCTTGCAGTTAATATGAAATTAATGTTTTGTCACAATGTGTACTATTGTGCACAAAATTCTGTTAAAGGACTGCCACTGTAAAATACACTAACCATTGTATTTTTGTATAAGTTTTAATCTCTGTCTACCTCTGTAAAATTCAAAGTTAAGCTGCATTGTGTTTGTTGGTCGTTGCCTTCGATCAGTCAGCTGCTACTTTCGTCTCATGAATATAGCATGCACTTTCAATATCCAACAGGACTATCACATCAGCGTGTTCTTTGATAATTGGTGTTACCATACTGCTTACTGTTATCTAAGTATGACTTCAGAAGTGAAGGCAGACGTGGAGCACAAGCTCCACGGACAGTATAGCTCTGTGTAGCCATGAGCATTGATATGCATTTCAATACATCACATGACATGGGTTTTATTGCAGAAGCGCAAGAACGTTAGGCGCAAAATGATGCTGAAGAATATGCAGGATGCGAGCCGACTGCATGGTCCGAACGGGGGCATGAGCGTGAGCTACGGAGGCATGCCAGAGAAAACACCCTTCAACCCATCACTCGCCACGCAGCCGTACCAGAGGCCAAGCATGGGGAGGGACTCGTCATCCGACAGAATCACGTTTAAAGAGAACCTTGTGTGAGGCAGGTGCCTTGTGAGAGAAGTTGATTTGGAAGATATCTTGGGAGGCTAGGAAAGCACAGAGTCAGTCGTAATCAGACAAGGTTCCCTCGGTGAAATTAGTCAAAGCTGCAACACCGAGGGCAGTGCATAGCCAGATCATACGTGGGCATATCCTTGGGGTGAGAATGCTAGTCACGATTTACGGGCAGCATAGTATATACGTAGACGTCCAAATATACTACACATATAGCTGTCAAATAAGTTGTGTATAATATATATGTGCATAATACCATATAAACGTGCATAAACCTGATTCCACTATCGATCAAGTCAGGGGCAATCTGCTTGTTGATATGGTGAAGGAATCTGAAGAGATATATGATCCACGGTTAATAAGACCGATTTGGATTAGTCAGTGTGAGGTACTGGTATGAAATATCTGCACTGGACTGAGGGAAGAGTGCTATAAATTTTCATGGTATACTGCTATGCCTGTGACGATAAACTTGAATCTCAATATTGTATATTATCTCGCTCTACTCACATCTCGTTTTTTTCAATGTGGTAAGTGCAATCTGCTAATGATCTTCAGCTACATCTTTTTTTTCACTAATAAAATCTATAATTAATTTATGGTTACGAGTTATTTACGCAGGAGCAGAGCAAGTGTACGGATGTAAGTAATGTACGAAGATCGACTGACGTGACAGAATGAAACACGGAGGTGCTGCATACATTAATAATTAATTCACTCCAAGTAAGAACTGCAGTGCTCTCACATGATGCCACTGATTGGTGATTTGAGCATCTGTAATACACGTGTCATAGTTATTGTGCCTTTACTGCGTATACCAGAGAGTACTGATTATTGATCCATGAAAAGGCTGCTCTCAAACCAGAACCAATTCTGTTTCTTCCAGGGGGAATTCTTACTAAAATTTATAACAAGACAGTGTTTTTCATAATAGTCACATTATAGAGATATGATAACCGATTCCCAGAGGCAAGGGATCAACAGCATGGCATGTCTTCTAATGTGTGTATCTTGATGTTGCAGATACCCTATAGGACTATTATAATGTACAATAGGACTATATGCCTGTGTTTACTCTTATAAATTGATTTATTTGAATGTATTACCTAAGCAATACTGGCAAGGTGACGTTTTTAACATGAGAAATCGTATACATTTTTCGTTTAATAATTTATAAAAATAAATGTCTTTATATTTCAGTTGTTTTACTCCACCTTTGTAAGGTCGTGTTTTGTTCCAATAAGGAGTTTTGAAAGCCTTAATTAATGAATTTTTTTCATTTACAACAACGTAATTTATTTCATAATGAAACATTTTAGTCGTGTTTTTCAGTATTATTAAAAAAGTTATCATATATATGATATATCCCATATAATTTTTATTTACCAATTATCGTATTATTTAATGCATATGTAATGATTATGTGTAAAACTTTGACGTGTCGTATATGTATAAGTTATAATTATATTAAAAATGTTACGTCTATGTGAAATAATTAGACTCGCCAAAGATGTCACCAAACAGGAAATGGCCTAATAATTAACAACACAATTAAGCGTGTATAGCATAAGTGAAATTTGACATGAAAAAGCAGTGATTTGAACACCCTCTTTTTTAGCAGAGTAATTTCCTGTAAAAAATGCTTTTAAATTATGGTGATTAATCAGTCGCTGAATAAACTTATGTTGCTTCATAGCAGTCTTATTGCCATTCATTGACCTGTATTTCCTTAACCAACTAGCATTTTGATACCAGTAGAACTGTGTACTTGAATTAGCAGCCACTAAAATAATCATTGGGAAAACATTCACACCAAGCACTAGCCCAGATGCCTCATCTGACTTCAGAAATATTATTATGATAATGGGCACATAGCTGCCATTATAATTTATTGTTGCAATGAAACTTGAAAGAGCAATTTGTCATGGACAAATCCTGATTGCATAGTTTACCATTTATATGCACTCGTTCTCTATAAAAGTGTAAAGAGTTAACTGAAAGTGAGGTGAACCACTTCGATAGCGAGTGTCACAGCAGATACATGTACGTGTACTGTGGCGGACGGCTATAGTTACCATATTTCAATTGTGGGCATGTCAGGATTAAATTTTTGAAACTTGCCTTTATATATTCACTCCTGATATATTATGCAGGTGATGCATAAGTATAAGCAAAGAATGGGGTGCAATTTGTTTAATTTGTTATTTTAATTAACAAATAATGTAAAACTACCAGCATAAAAACTTCAAACACAATACGCCACAAAAAGTTGTCTTGTAAATAGATCGGTCAAGCAATGATAAATCTAGCTATCCGTGGGCTATAGTACGTACTAGAGCTATGATAAATAATGCATATAATATGCATAAATCATGTAAAACGTACAGTAAACTAACGCAATGAAACGTAACACTGAATTAGATTAATCTGCCAACCTGGTCAATATTATATTGGAAGAGAACAATAATTAAACCATATATAATATGCACATAATTAAACCATTGCATAATGTATCATATATTATTATTTATATTAGGCTCGTGATTGGTAGCACATTGTACCGGCACTTGGTACCCTCACCAAATGAGAGGGAAATGGTAATTTATTGTCATGAACCTTCGTTACACCCCCCCCCCCAAATTGTCAATAAATTTCAAAAACAGCAGCCTCCAGCTTTGGACATGAAAATTTACTCATATAAGCCTAAGATATAAATAATAATAATAATAATTGATGGCTCTTTTTGGACGGTCGAGCACCTGCCAGCCTCGGTGGAACAATATTGTAATAATCATTGCAACTCAATATTGATTAATCTTGGGTGACATTCTGCTATCTTCTTCAAAGCCTTCCAACAATATATAAATATTTCCTCATGATAATATCACAACTGGTTAAACATTCTAAGTATATCAACACTAGCATATATAATTGCTCAATGTTACAAAATAAAGGTAGAGCCAAACGAACCAAAGATGCATGATAAATACCAGAACACAAAAATTTAACATATATATGCATTCAGATAACTAAGTTCACAAAATACATGAGGATCCCTCACATAACTTGAAGATCTGCATATCCTTCACTACACGATTTGGTAGATGTTTGCTTTTAAGATGTTTAGAATGTAGTTTAATTTTGATGACCATTCACTTCAATCAAAATGCCACGAATTGTTTTCACTTGCACCTAATAGTAACTAAGTGACTAGATATGATTTTACAAGTTAGCATGGTTGTAACATGTTATGGGTGCATGTACATGGCCCAACAGTCTCCCATGATGCTCTGCAAGTATAGCCGACTTATGTTTGATCAATTTAGACTCATGCACGATTAGCAAGTAAACAGTACACTGAATGCTGCAGCCTACTTGGCACTAAATTTAGATCAAGGCTGTTCCAAACACGACTGAATGAACATCCTGGTCCGCTTCTGCACTGTGTTGAGCAGGTATTTGCTCAGCATCATGGGTGATGGTTGGACAAGGTACTCCCATGAGCCACCAAAGCAACAGGCAATCCTACAAAAGTATATCTACCATCTTTAACAAATGTAAGTAATTACCCACTGTAATTTTCACTCATTGGGTGCCCCTAACTCATTTTCCCAGTCACTGTCCTCATCGCCACTGTCACTGTTCTCATCGTCTGTGCTTTTAATGTCACCCCAGTCGTCTGAGTTGCAGCACCCACTATCAGCACCCTCCCTTGACTCCGCCTCTGGCGCCGTAACATGCAGACGTACTAATTCCGCAAGCACGGCCGGCAGACGATTCAGCATCTCTGTCGGCAGCCCGTGTTGCACAAAGGCGCGCGCCGCCTGGCACTGCAGACTCAGGTGATATCGCTTCTCCATGGCGTTGCTGAGGTCGTCCAGCAGGTGGCAGTCGTCCGGGTCGAGCATCACCCTGCGGCGGGCCGACGCCAGAGCGTCGCGCGGCGTGCGTCCGCCGGCGTCCGCTGCATCGACGTGCGCACCCTCGTGCAGCAGCATCCAGACGAGGCCGATCCTCGCCGCACGCACGTGCCGCTCCCTGGCGGCGCTTCTGAACGGCAGCAGGCCGCAGCGGCTCTCCTCGAGTCTGCGGCAGAGCAGCATGAGCGGCGTCTCGCCGCGGCGCCGCTCCCTGACGTCGACGTCGGCGCCGCCGTCCAGCAGCGCTCGCGCGACGCCGCCGTCGCCGTACAGCCACTTTGCCGCCAAGTACAGCGGCGTGGCGCCGTCGCAGTTGGCCGCCCGCGGCGCCGCGCCGTGCTTCACGAGCGTGCGCACGATGGCCGTGTGTCGGCCGTCGTGCGGCGGCCGCAGCGAGATCGCCGGCACGCAGCACGCGTTGTGCAGCGGCGTGTCCAACGTCGCCGACCGCGCGTCCATGTCGGCGCCGCATCGCAGCAGGCAGTCTACGAGGTCGGGTAGGCCGCGCTTGCACGCGATGTGCAGGGCTGTCTCGTCGCTCTCGTCGAACGCTCGCACGTCAGCGCCGGCGTCTAGCAGCAGCTTCGCTATGGGCAGCAGTGACGTATTCTCGCTGTTCCTGTAGCTGTCTCGAAGCAGAACGTGCAGCGGCGTCTCCTTAGCGCTGGCGACTGCGTTAACGATTGCTCCACTCTCCAGCAACACTCCCACGATATCGACGCTTCTGTTTAGACACGCCTTGTGCAGGGGCGAGAAGTGGCGATTGTTTGCTTCGACCATGTTTGGGTCAGCGCCATGATGAATAAGAATTCTCGCTGTTTCAGCTCTTTGCACCATATGCAACAAGGACTGCGGCCGACAGCTCTCATCTCGCAGACGCAGAGGCATAAGACCGTCAATGCCTCCACTGAGAATAAGAGCATCGACTATATCGCCATGCCCTCTATCACACACCATGCACATATCAGGATCAAAGCCATGACGCATCAGCAATTTCACTGCATCTAATTGGTTATTTGCACATGCCACGTGCATGGCAGAGTTAAATATGTCATTATCGATGACACTATATTGTAAAAGTACCTCTAGCATCTTCACATTACCAAGGTGACAAACCTCTTCAATGGCTGCCTGTACAATTACATAGACACTATGGAAACAACAGAGATGAACAGTAGTAGACAGCAAATTTTTAACAGTCGAAACGTCATTATCTTGGCAGGCAAGTTGTAGGTTTTCTGCTAACTTGTACTTTTCTGTCAAACTGGTTTTTACCTCCTTGTTAAAGCACACACTGCACACGACGTCATTATACACGTTTCCGTTTGCATCGCAGCAGAGTGAGAGATATGCCATATTTCTGCTCCACGTTTTATTTCGTAGCCTATTTGGTTGAATATGATCAATTACCAAGTCTCTCAGAACCACTCAGACATGCTGAAATTTATATTCACCTTTGCTGGCAGAACCTAAAAATGAAAATAAGCAACAGAGTGAATTCATAAAATTATCACTGTAAACTTGCAATCAACGACAACAATATGATAGTGCAGGGTATAATAGTATAAATATATAATGCGACTCTTTTGTGATATATTTCCTGACTCCCTCAAAATGTTGCTATATATATTCAGTGTTAATCACGCATATAAAAATTTTTAACACAGTACATGTACAGTATTTTGAGCTCATCTTAAAATCATAATTTACAGAAGTGTACAGCAGATAAGATGATAATATATAATGTCCTGCTAAGAGCTTCAACAACAGTATCATGCCCACATATTACAACACGTAGCAACTAGCAACTGATGTAATACTCGTCAAACCCTGGCGAATTCACATACATTCATCTAATGAAGAGGGTGTTTTTTTTATGGACGGATCACTGATTCAGATCAGTTACGCTCACTGCTGACACATATTACTGAATGATACATATGGTCTGAGAGTGGAAAAGAAATGTGAACCTATACACAAAGAGTATGTGCATGCAGGTGTATATATATTATATGCTGAGGATAACTAGCAGGTGCTTCTTGGTATTACAAATAAAGAGAATTACTAGTGATACCTCATTACTCTGTTAACCCTATAGACTGTTCGCTTTTTACCGTTTATTACAAATACATAAATGGAGCAATGACAATTAACTGAGCGACATGGAGGAAGTTCATCAATGACCTGTGTCTCCAAGGAGACTGAGCGGTTTAAGAAGATTCAAAAAATTTAAATCAAATCATGTTGTTCCAATATTTATATAAGTAATAACTTTGAGGTGAATGTTATGAACAGCAGTTTTTCATTGCCACCTGGTGGCTACTTATTCAATTAAGCATTTTCTTGTGTCAGACTATGGGGAAACACATGCATAGTATGGCTGATAGGGTCTATGTCCCCCAGGGTACTGCCGGAACGTACTCTGGTAACTATCTAGCTGATATGGTTAGGGTTAGGGTTAGTGTTAGGGTTAGGGTTAGGGTTAGAGTTAGGGTTATACTTATAGGGTTAGGGTTAGGGAGTAGGCGTAGGCAACTCCCTAGACTCGTTAGTGGAGTAGGCGAGGTACGGTCCGGCATATTAGATAGTAGTATTTAGTACCAAGGTACGTTCCGGTATACCGGACAGTACCCAGGGTACGTTCCGGCAGTACCCTGGGGGACATAGACCCTATCAGCCATAGTATGTTGTAGCAAAAGCTGAATGTAATGAAATGCACCATGACTTTGTGGATTACCAACATCTATACTATGTCAGACCAATTCGATCAGAATACATTGAAATATGAAAATAATTCACCAATTAAAACTATGTATCACTATCAATGCATACTGTAATCGATTGCCACCTATTGTGTTGCAAGTACTTGAATGTAAAGTCCATTCATAAATCACTATTGATGCTCAGGTAGTACTGGATATATTATTTGTTCACTGGTGACAGCTGGACTATATATCACTATCAATGCATACTGTAATCGATTGCCACCTATTGTGTTGCAAGTACTTGAATGTAAAGTCCATTCATAAATCACTAATGATGCTCAGGTAGTACTGGATGTATTATTTGTTCACTGGTGACAGCTGGAAGAAAGAATATTGACCAATGGTGGGTGGCGTCAAAACCAAATTACTGCTCTGTTACATAATTTAACATGTGCACACGATCATGTATAAAACATTGCACATTCAGTCAACATAAAATCATGCAGGAGTAGATAATAGAGACTATTATCTACTCCTGATAAAATCCTAAGTTAAACCATCTGTGTACATATACATGGCATACATATGCTGATGTTTGAACCCTAGAAGGCACTTGAATTCTTTTATTCTTGTTGTTTGTGCACAGTGGCATGCGTGCGGTGTATTTGTGTGTTGCAGAAGAGCATTTGAACGGCATTTACAGAAAGTTATCGGCAATAATAGGCGAAATAGAGTAGAGAAACAAACTTTGGTAGTAAATACATTTTGTGTTTATTTACCTTCTTTTTTTATTGAAGCCCGCGCTGTGCACAAACAACATGAATAAGAGAGCTCTCTTATTCATGTTGATTG